CACGTACCCATTTTTTTCCACTCTATACACCCTTTAACGCCTTTATTTCCCCCGGTGCCGTGTTCCCGGACACGAGTAGCGCAGGCCCTATTATGCAAATGTACGAGGTGAAACGGCCTGGACCTAGCTATGATCGTTCAGAGACAACCCTCTCCCGCGTCGTCCTGCGGGTGTAGTTTATACCATGAACGGGGTGGTTGAGCGTGGAAGACCACCACGGGGAAACAGGATGCGTCTGATACGCACGTGCGTCGCTTGTCGATGCTCGTAGACACGTGCACATTCTTAACAGCCTGAGAATTGCACGAGCTTAAAAATCACCCGGTGTCCAAGATGAATCCCTTATCTGGTATTTGCGACGAAGTACAATTTACGATATTTCGCAATGTCTAGGCAACGATGGTTCCTAAAGCTGACGTACGTAGACGCTGATTAAGTCGTAAGACGAGAATAGACAGTTGTTTGCACTGTGAATTGGGTGATAGGGTACCACTGTTCTCTCAACGCCATAAGAATTGCGTTTAACCCAAAATCGGTCGAATTCCAAAGATAGGGAACGGAAGGCCATCGCTGATAATAGATACTATTGTCTTCTCAACTCCATAAAAATTACTTTCGACTGGAAATCACTCAAATCTCAAAGATAGGGTACAGAAAACCATTACAGTTCTCCTAACACCGTAAGAATTGCATTCGATCGAAAATCACCGGAAGCCCAAAGGCTAAACGCAGAAGCAATAAATTAACAATAGCTTAACGGATGGATCGAATTTCCCATTTCCAGTCAGAAGGTGGTGAACAGTGCCGGAGGTCTTCCATTATCCACCTACGAAATGTACATTTGCACTTATGATCGTACGTACACGAATGCACCGGTTGCAACACGCAAACCGAATGTCTATGCATTCCAGGAAGATCGGCTGGGACACTAAGAGAGATTGGAAGAGTGAGAGAGATGGTATAGTGTGCGAGTGAGAATTCGCCGCTAACCAGTCGGTTGGAGGAACGGTGGGAGTGTTGTTGGGGTGATAGCCGACGGGGGTGGGTGTTTACTTTTGGTGTTGGGCAAGTAGCGCCCAGCATGCATGGTTCCCTCTGATAGCAAACACTGAGTATCGATCAGTATGACTCTGGTAAACAACTATTGTAGAGTAGTATAGTATAGGACGGGTTTTGTCCCCTTCGACCCCCTGCCGCTCCTCGCTGTCCCATTCCCCGGCACCGCTGGACACCCCTGCGCTCCTCGCAACCCCTTCGTTTCTGTATGCCAACCCTGCGTCCACCCGTTTCCCATCCTCAACAACTCCGTCGTGTGCTCGCGATATGCCTGCTTACGTGCCGAGCAGGGCCGTCCTAAACGAAGATTCTTTCCAAGAAACACCCTCTAAATGGAAATGTAGAAACCTGCATAGCTGAAACGGTTAATTTGGCTTTTCTCAACTTTTTTTTATTTATTTATTTGCGTATTTTGTGTGAATGGTGTGAAGTGTAAATCTTCTGGAAGCTTAACGAATAGGAGCAGATGATTTTTGGCTAGATAAAAGTGTCACCGATCTCTGGGAACTGTGGAGAGTAAAATTGTGTTAGACCGTACGTATACCTTAAGTAGATCCAGACGCTCGTGGTCAGACTCGACGCGTTAGGAGAGAAGTGACAGAACCGTGGGTAAAGAGACTCGATTGACAATGAGTGATTTAGGATAGTCGATAGGATAATTGTTGAAATTAGGAGAATATGTGTATTGTTTATTACGAGATAGTGGAGTTTTGGAAAAATGAGTAGTAAGATTGGAAATAAGTACGTCCCTGAAGCGGATGCTAATCATCTTGGCGAAGGGTGTCTGAAATTGTCGCCCCATCGCGCAATCCCCAAGCTCGACAACCCCTGCGACTCACCCTAACGGCTCGCTTAACCAAACAACCTTGATAAATTATGCAAAAATCAACAACACTACGAAATGCACCTCCCACGCGACCTGGATAAATCGAGGGGTTCAATAGTAAGATTTTTCCTTTTGTAATTGCGGCGAACTTTTTGCTCGTAGAAAAGGAATAACCGAACAATCTTCGCAGAAAGATTCGCAAGAAAAAGAAACAATTGTCAATTTTATTTCTTCTCATCTGTTCGTAAATGAAGTATTTAAACGTTCAGGCACAGGTAAAGGACAAAAGGTTTCTCTCTTTTTTTCTGACACGGTGAACGATTAATAAACGCGTAACAATTAGTCAGCGATAATTCGAGGGAATTTATTGCGGCCGGTGTAATTTTATCAGAAATTTTGCAGCCGAATGTAGTTTTATTGCCGCGCGAATGAACCACATTAAGCGTTTACGCCGGCTGGGCATCGGCGCGAACGATGTGTGACCCCGTGAAATCCGCGAGCCAATAAATGAATATAACCCACGCGTGAGAATAAAATCCGTCGCTAAACTGTGCAACAGGTGTTAGAGGTTATTGACAATCTTTTCATCAGAATGACGGTGTTTGTGCGATATTTCGCCGAATATCGGAGCTTTTAAGCGATAACGATGTCCCTTTTTACACGGCCTGCTGTTTTGTCACATTTTCCGGATATTACCTACCCCGGACGGCTATTATTTCCGTTGTCCGATTAACGATTGATCTGTCCTCTTATTTATTACACGATTAAACTGTTCCTCCGCTCTGTGTGTATCGATCCTGTAATTATTATTGACAGTGGAAAAGACGACATTTCATTTGTCTATCTTATATCGTTTGTCGAATCGATACTTCTCAAATAATTACCCTTAATATTATCCACAGACGAGATGATTTATTTAATATGCTAAAGTCGCCCGTGTGTCTGGTTATCTTGTTGTAAATACACGTTCCTCCTCTGCCATGTTTTCTCTTTATCTACCGTCCTCGGCATCCCTATTTCTACCCCGGCCATTGAAGGTTGTTATCAATACCACAGTTATGCTCTCGGCATTGTGGGATGGTTTGGTTCCGTGTCGAGAAACAAGACGAACAACAACAACAAACAACAACAAACTAGCCGATGTGAAGTCTCTCGCTCACCCTCTCCGCCCTTCCTTTCCGCG